ATATATATATATATATAAATGGTTTGGGCTGCCATGCTTACATTGCAGTCAAGTCAGCTTTATAGATTTACCTCTACACAAATTCCCAAATGTGCTCACATGGTCAACAGGTGTTAAAATGACTCTTTGCTTTCATATGCATTGAACTAAAATAAAATGGAGGAAATTAAGTTTTTTTAATAAGCAAAAAGAAGCCAGATCTCAAAGCCTCTTTTCCAGCAGATCGACTCAGATAAAATGCTGGAGATTTAGGTGCCCAGCAGGGATGTGGAAGAATCGGAACACCTCCCCACTTTCTTCACCCCTGCTTATATCCCCCATGGTGTTCCTGTCATGGGATAATGTGCTCCTCCCACCTTTCTCATTATGCCCACTTCACATGTCAACACACATTCGAGACAAGACAGACCTTTGACCATGCTTGTTAATACAAAAATTTGGTGTTTACGTATCCTAAAGAAGATAAAGTGTGATGATAATGTACAAAAGTTTGTGGTTGGTGAGATTTTTTAAATGTTTTTTGAAAGAAGTCTCTTATGCTCAATAAGACTACATTTATTTGATAAAAAGATGGCAAAAATAGAAATATTGTGAAATACTACTACAATTTAAATGACCTGTGTTATATCTGAATATATTTTAAAATGTAATCTATTACTGTGATGGCAAAGCAGAATTTTTAAGCAACATTACACCAGTCTTCAGTGTTACGCGTTTCTTCAGAAATCACTGTAATATGCTGATTCTGTGCAAAGCAAACTTTTACTATTATCATAATTGTTGAAAACAGTTGTGCTGCTTAATATTTTTGTGGAAACTGTGATATTTTTTTTAGGATTATTTGATGAATAGAAAGTTCTCAGAAAGTTACTCTCACTTTTGATCAGTTTGAAAAAAAAATCTTACTGACTCTTACTTTGAATTGTAGTGTGCAAAAAAATGTTGGAAAACCTTTACAATAACATTCCATTTATTAACAATAGTTAACTACATTAACTAAAATTAACTAACAATTAAAAATCTACATTCAAGCAAATTCAAGCACTTAGTTTTCGTTTTTTAAAAGATTGATAGTTAATCGTTAATCTGATTATTTAATAGACCTGAACTAACATCAAATAACAGTGGACACTTGTGAGTGCCGAAATAAAAGTGCTAATTTTGTCTTTCACAAAAAAAAGTCTACTATTTTTAGATCCATTCAAACCATCTTTCACTGTATGTTTCTTCTTGATTCCCCAGAGACTTTCTCCAGCATGCAGTTGGCCCCAAGCACCACAGCCAGTCCAGAGCCACAAGCTCATGTTTTCCTCCCAAGCCTGGATTAGTGAAGTCTGATCCCACAGCCACAGTTCAGCGAGCACACTGCTGGAGCAGTCCTGTACCTAATTAACTTAATTTTGCCTCTGTCAGTGATTCCAATGTGCAGGCGCAGCGTCAAGCCAAATAGGATCTGACATTGCTTTCATAAATTCTATAATCTACTTCAGTGAACACAATGCTACTTTCAGAATCAGGCCCTGCATAACTCTGTTCCTGCCATTTGGATTGAGGCAGAGTGAATGTCAACAACTGCTACTCAGTCTTTTATATATATATATATATATATATATATAGGGGAGAGTGGGGTAAGATGAGCCTTTTTTTTTTACTTATGTGTTACATAAGTACAATGAAAGTATCTAAAGTAATTTCAGGATGTTACCTATCATTTTAAATGATCAGAATTAATCTATGACAAAGAGTTCTAAAAATATGGCTTATAAAAATGTTTCTCGTGGCTCA